GCACGTCGATGACGGCCATCAAATCGCGCTACCCGAGATGAAAAAAACGCAAACACTTACACGAGCGCGATTGCGCATATGCAAGGCCATCGTTATTGGCAAAAATTGCTATATCGGTTGTTTTCTGCGGATAAATACCTGTCATCGTGGGGCAATCAATAATCAATGCATTTCTGGGCTTTAATTGTGAAGGTAAAGAAGAAAACTTACTCTGAATATTGTAGGCTTGGCTTGTAGGAACTTTTTCTCCTCCTCCCTGATCGCACTTTTTGCTCATGATACAAAAGAAAATGAGTTTTTATTTGAATGATGTGTTTACAAATGAATAACATTTAGAAAAATTGTCATTTAGTATTGGAATACCAGATGGGAAAGAATTATCCTTTAGATAATCCCCTCTATATTACCCCAAAATTTCTGACCACTCTCCTCTCAATAATGGAAGAAAGCAGAATCGTTTTCCTAATTGCTTGCAAGAAGCCTATACAAGATATGATAATGATTCGGAGGAGTACGATAATAGTGTAGAGCGAGAATTTCTATTCGCTTTCAAACAACTGATTTTTTATGAATTTGCTGAGAAAATGTCTCCTAATGAGTTGACGGAAATGCACATATACAGGGTGTCCGTAAAGTATGCATACACTGTTTAATCGTTAATATCTTTCTTCCCAACAAGTCTTTTGCCTTGCTTCAAGTACCATTTTGTAGAGCTGACTTCAACTTAGATTTGCAGTATAGAACGAATCATCCATCTCACTTCATTACTGCAGGATTACGGTAGAACTTCAAAGAGAGTTTTGATCTATGAAAGGCCATATTTTGCTTCAGAAAGGAAACAAAGCAGCCTGAAAGCTTCTACACTAAGCTATTTAGAGTTGTTGGTCCCAACTGTAAAGTTCCCAACTTATTATGATGCTTCATTGAAGAGTTATGCCAGGTAAAAGGTAGCGGCCATTTTTTCAATGTTCCTAAAAAGTGCGATTACACCGTTTAGAAAGCTTCGCAACCTTGTGGATAGTTTAGTATTGACTCATCGTCCATAATAACCCTATTACATCCTATTACCATCACCCATTCTCACATTTTTTGAAGAATTTTGAAATGGCAGCTTTTTTACATTGACACCATACGTATCAAGTTCCTACCGTAACCCTACAGTAATGAAGGGAGATGGATGATTCGTTCTATGTTGCAAATCTAAGTTAAAGGTAGCTCTACAAGATGGTACTGAAGCAAGGCAAAAGACTTGTTGGGAAGAAAGATATTAACGATGAAACAGTGTATACATACTTTACGGACACCCTGTATGTATTTCTGGTCACAAGATCAGTTTTACATGTCCGTTCACTCTATTCTCAATTCCAAAATATAATGTCGCACTGCATAAGATGCGATGGTGGTACGGTGAGAGTACTGCAATGTTAAGGGGCAGAAACCTTACCGTTAACTAAAAACGTACTGATGCTCTTGTTAGAAAATGTGAAGCGCCATTACTAATGTAAGTGAGCTTATAGCCAGCCTATTGACCTCAAGGGGGTAGTCATGTTAGAAGAAAGTTTTTGGATATGGTTGAACGCTCAAGTGATTACTAAGAGCAAGTTCACGAAAAAGAAAAGAGAGTACTGGTTTTAATAATCGTTGAGCTTAAGGAGACCATAATATAATTTTTTTGTAATATATAGAGTAATCTTGCTAATCTTCAAACAGGATCTATATTACTGTGAATCGCGTCTCAATTCCATGCAGTGAAGTTAGTAGTAATCAACATCTATCAATCAATCAACATCTACATTAACAAATTCTATCAAACTAAAAGGGGAAGGATACTTGGTTACCGTGGCCATCCGTAATGATTTGTATATCAAAAAATGCTTCTTTTAATGCTGGTTCGATTACTGTCTTCCATGTCTGCGAAACGATAACCTGGAGGAGTTATGATTATTTTTGCATGAATAAATTGCGCTACTGCGGAGGGTCAAAATAATCAAAAAAAAATTTCTTTGCTTTTCAAATGCTGAGTATGATTTATATAGGTATAATACATCAATATTCTTTACAAGATTCTCTTCAATAGTTTCAAACGGCAACCTAGACGCAAATTTTCAACGAAAAAAATTCATAATTTTCTTAAGAAAATAGTTTCGCAAATATCGAGCACAGATCTAGAATCAGCGTTTCGAGATGCATCTTATGGTATACATCGTATTTCATATGGCCACGGTCACCGGGTATCCTTTCTTTGTAAGAGGCAATACGCGGCTACGAAAGAACGTATGTTATTCCAGATAAAAAAATCTCATTTCTCCATGCCTGTCTTGGTGATGGTTTCCACGAGTTCAAAAAACCGCTCGATAATATTTATTTCAATTGTGAAATATGCGAAAGCTCGTCTATAAAAGATTGTGCGTTCAAAAACCATGATATGTAGAAACAAAACTCTAAAAAGCATGAAATGAAAATTTGCCATATGGACAACGAATCTCCTTGATCAATTATCACGTAAGAAAAACGTATCTTACAAGGAGAGGATACTTAGTCGAAAGCACCAATCCAGATGAGACATATATCGTCTTAGAGCGCTTAAAACGCTGATTGCAAATCTGCAGTTTCTAGCTGCGGAGCGGTTTTGTAGAGGGAGTTATGAGGGGTGTTTGTTCTGAGTTGAGGCGCCCTCTACCAGGTCTCCCCCTAATTATGAGCACTGCAGAAGAGTCCAACTGGTGGCAATTGACTTAGTGGTAAGCGACGTGCTTGATAAAGATAGTGTCAAGGTTTTAATCCCCTTCGCATGCTAAATTGAACTTCTAAATGGCTTTAGAGCCCTCAAGCACGAAACTTCTGATGATACTGATACTAATCGAAGTTAGAAGTGTTAAAAAAAACATAGTAATATAAGTATCATAATCTTTACTGTAATCTTCATTCAAGTTACTTACAATTAGATCATTTGCCATCAGCTGATACTCGGTGCTTACACATAAAGGGAGACTGCTGGAGGGCGCCTAAACCCCAGAGGGGAACACCCTTCATAACTTCTTCTACAAAACCGCTCCGCAGCTAGAAACTGCAGATTTGGAATCAGCGTTTCAAGCGCTTTAAGATGATATATGTCTCATCTGGATTGGCGCTTTCGACTAAGTATCCTCTCCTTGTTAGCTTCTATATTAGTAGAGAGCATGAGAGTTATCGTACCGTTATGGTAGGAATACCGAGGGCAATATCTCTTCTAGCCTCCCAAAAAATTACTTTTCTACGAGCTTTTCAAGAATTGAGCCCGTAAATCCACCTCAACGCAACTTTGCCAGGCGGGTTACGGCTTCTAGGGCCTCGGGCATACTTCGTGTGGTTTCAATTGCGACGATCAAAAAAACTCTTAAGTTTTTTAAGTTGTCGTAAGCGCATTCTGAATGTACTGAAGACTGCATTTTTATCAGTCTGCAAAAGTTATACGTATTATGAATTTGTGGTTTGCAAGTGAAGACACCTGGCAAGTTGCGAGAAAACGTTGTGACTGAAATCGGGTGAATTGCTCAATTCTTGAGACCTACGCATTATTACTATGCCTTTGATCTCGATGCGGGCGATTTGTGGAGGGCCGCTATCGAAAAATCGATGATAATCGCTATTAAGGATTTCGCCTAGCTGACGGAATAATAACACATCGAATAATAATTCAATGTTTTCCAATAAAATATTACGACAGATGAAAATGAATAAAAGGGATGGTTCTCACTTCGAGCAACACTTTTCAATCTTTTAATCTCTTGTTTGCGGTTAGCTGTCCATCATCCTTCAGTTTGTGCCCCAGCGTTGTGCATTTTTGCGCGCTTTTGTACCCTAAAAGAACATGAGACTGGGTGCAGCGTTAGTTGCATACAAATTTTTTGTCTGTTCCGCGTTTCTGCACAATATCTCCGTTAGCATTTACGTTTCAACAACATACGGGTAGTGAGGTGAACTGACCAGGATATGACCGGACAGTCTTCCTACAGTCGAACTTGCCTTCATGAAGCATGAGAGGGTAGGCGATTGTAAATTCAACTAGAAGCTCTTCTGGGGCTCTTCTCTTCTCACGTTTAACTGAGCTTATGGCGGTGAGAGGAGGGGGGGGGGGGCTGGAAGGTTACGGATAACCCTGATTAGGCCTTAAAGGCAGTAGGTCGGCAGAATGAGAGCCGTGGCAAAACAAGGTCACAGGGTAGGAGCCCCCATAATGGAACCTATGGGCCAAGGTTCGATCTTTCTCTGCCACTTCTAACCCCCGAAATTTCAAAGCGAAAGCAGCGCTCATCTCCTGTCCTCTCCGAACCCGCCCACCTCACGGCGAGCGAATGCTAAGCCCATCATGGCGAAGACGCAGAATCGTTGCGGGACCTCATGCTTCTAGCATTGCGGCTGGCGCTCTGACCGCGGAAGTCACTCGTCCATGGGGTGGGTGGGTTCGGAGAGGACAGGAGATGAGCGCTGCTTTCGCTTTAAAACTTCGGGGTTGCCTTGTTGTGTGACCTTGTTTTGTCACGGGTCCCATTCTGCCGATGTACTGCCTTTAAAGGCAGTGTCTCACCAAAGTTGAGGTCGCGCGGATCTTCATATATTCTATTATAGGGAGCTCTAAATAGGCCATTGCAACAGTTCGACCCAATTTGGCCCCCTCTGTGCTGAGAAAAGCGAGCTCGGTACGCGAAGAGCGAGTTGGTACGCGCGGACGACTCCTTCGGTCTCCCCCCTTACGCGTTTGAACATGTCTCTCCACTTGGCATCCACCTCCCTTGTGTTGCTGCCACTGTAGCTGAGCCTGAAGTTGGAAGGTACAACTCGTCCACGTTGCTTCCGCGGGGCCTCCAGAAAACGGGGTTTTTGGGAACTTCGTGCGATTTTAAGCCCATACAGTGCTAGACAGGGTCCGACAGGCTTGCAGAATGCAAAAATCTCGGCAACAAAATTTTGGGGAGACACTGCCTTTAAAGCCTTGCCTTCCGTGGAATCAAAGGGTAACTATGCTTTTAATTTATGTAGGTGACATCCGTATGATATGTTTGTACTCTTTCGCGCAGAATTCGGGTTGGCGCGAGCGAAGGCATGGCCACTGGTTCAATATTTACAACGGCAGAAATTTCCATCGAATGATCGAATGATCGAACGCGAAAGCAGCGCTCATCTCCTCTCCTCTCCGACCCCGCCCACTCCATGACGAGTGACTTCCACGGTCAGAGCGCACACGAAGCAATGCTTGAGCATAAGGGTTCCGCAACGACTCTGCGTCTTCGCCATGGTGGCTTCGCGTTCACTCGTTTGTGGGGTGGGCGGGGTCGGAGAGGAGAGGAGATGAGCGCTGCTTTCGCTTTGAAACGGGTGTTAGAAGTGGCAGAGAAAGATCGAACTCTGGCCCATAGGTTCCATTATGGGGCTCCTACCCTGTGACCTTGTTTTGCCACAGTTCTGCATTCTGCCGATCCACTGCCTTTAACGCGAGCGAAGGTATGGCCACTAGTCCTATAGTTGTAACGTACGGAAATTTTTATCGAATGAACTAATATCGAAATAATTAGTTTTTGAATTTTTCGAACAAATGAATATAGAATGATCGATTTTCTAAATATTTTCGAATGAACGAATATTGTTTGGCCGTTTCCATCTCGAATTCGATTTTTGAATACGGGCGCATTCAAAATTGAATCATTGAGTATTCAAATAATCTAATTTGGTCCAATATTCGACTATTCAAATAAACTATGTGATAACCAAGCAACATCGAATGAATGCAATTTTCGAATGTTCGAGTGCAATATTCAAACATTGGAATGTTTGACCAACTGTATTCCGAAATTTCTCGAATATTTGAATATTCGAATAAGTGTCTCTCAAAATTCCTCGAATGTTCAAATATTTGAATAAGTTATTTTTCCGATTCTCAAATGAACGTATTCAACTAAAGGTCCTTTTCGTTTATTCGCCTATTCGAATGATTGAATAGTGGATTTTCTCGGACAGTCGACTATTCGAATATTCGAATCTTAGATATTTCGAATAATTATTCGAACACGAATATCCGGTCCCAACTATAACTGCTCCCACTATTCCAACGCGGCCATTTGTATGAATCCTTTCCGATAACGTGAACACGATTGTGTCGCCATTTGTGTTCTTCCGATCGATATGGAAAATAACTATAAACAAGTAAAAGGTGACGGGGAAGAGGGGGGGGGGGGGTAAAACGTCTAGCACTATTAAGTTGATAAATCTGTTCAAAAATGGAATATTTGATTTGAAAATGTTGGAAAAAATTTCTTCTAAAGTACATCATACGCTTCTCAAATTTTGTAACCAAGCACTCAAACTGCGTCCTGTCTTAAACAGTAGTGGTTTTACCGACTTAGAGTTGACCAAAAAATCCGGCATTATAGCTTTTCGTAGGAACGTCGCAGCACGAACTTCTTTCGGGAAAAAAAGAACGTCACAATATCAAGAGTGAGATTAAATGAGAGTTTATTAAATCTTAGAAATTCTAGCGAGCTCTTCTCAAAAACCAATATTTTTGAGTGCTTTGTTCCTTCATCTTGTATTCTTGCGGTGGCATCAATATTATTGGTTCTGAGTACCGAGGAAGCGCAATTTCTCTGTTTAAAATAATTGAAAGTAAAGGTTTTTGTTGATGCTTGCAGAAACTATGAATTTTCCAAATTTTTAGCGCAAGTCTTATGCACCAACTTCACGAATTGAAAAATTCTAAAACAAAGCACTGAGCTTAAGAGCAAAAACCTTGTAAGACGTAATTTTTGGGTATTTTTGAAAGCTCCGTTCATAAAAATATTAGGTCGTCTTGAAAGTATTTTCGCTTTTCTAAACAAACGCTGCATTTAGCGGAACAAAAAGTTTTTGAAAGATCTTAATAACACTCGATATAGTCTTTATACTTTCTCAAGTGATTATTTTCATATTGCATTCAACAAGCGGCCTCTTAGAATATAAACAATAACTGCCTATGGTTTTTTCATGGTCAATATCCGCTATTTTTGAAACTTGTACTGATCCTCCGAAGAAGTCCAAGTAACGAATAAATAGAGCAAACTCCATAGGATTCAAAGCAAATTTCCCTCCAAATCTATTTTCAAAATTATTTGGATCATTTTTTGTTGCCATGAAATTCCATATACGGTCAAGTTAAATCTTAAAGAACTCCAATTGGCAAGCAAATCAAGTGTTATTCAACTCTTCTCGTAAGAACAGCGCAGCATTACTCTGGTAAAAACATAAAAATTTTCGTTTTTCTGATTTAGAAATCAGAAAAACTTTCCATGTTTTCACTAATAAAAAATACAGCACCAACACGAGTGAGGTGGAGCGTACATGAGCGAGTGAGATTCTGTAGGATTTTTTCAAACAAAGATAATTCAAAATGTCGATTTTTTAGGCATCCAAAACTTATTTTGGTTTTGAATTTAAGGTGGGTCAAAGCTCGTGCAAAAGCATAAACGGCGTCTTATAGAGCTTGCTTTGCTCTATAAGACGGCTAATGGTATCCAGATGCCTTTTCAGAATAAGAAGTGTGAATTATTACAGCAAAAACTCAGAAGTAAAAAGGTTTATGGAATAACCTAATACATACTCTAGGCGAGATCAGAATGTTTATGATGCTTTCAGATTAATTCACTTAGAAGGAGCAAAAGCGAGACTTTAGCGTACCCTGCGAAATTTGCCTTGTGCAAATAAAGTTCAAAACTCTAAGGGCAGAGGATAATATCTAATTGATTTGTTGACCGCACGGATGGGTATCACTGCGGAACACGCGCCGCGTGGTAAAACGCTTGCCCCAGTGCCAATTTTCCTTGTACAAGTCGTGCTCTCGCGAGAATTCAGCCGCGTCGCGCGTGGTCCGCAGCGTTTGAACAGTCCGTGCGGTAAACGAATCGACGTTACTTTCTGCTAGATATTTGAGGCTAACGAAGTGAAGACATATGCAAGTATTTATCCGTCATTGCTTGAAATAAGTCTTGATGTTCATTCATAATTCCAATTTTTTTGAACATAAAAACGGTGCTGATTTGACTTCAACAATTGCCTTTTCTGGTACTTTCTTACAATACATTCGACTTCTTCGATTAGTATCAGTTGGACGATTGAAACTTCTCGCTGAACATTCCAAATGAAAAATTCTGCCTAGAAACTACAAATTCAAGTAATGCGATGCGATACATTCTGACGTCTTTTCTAACCCATCGTCATTTATCTCTACATGTTAATCAATCCATACAAAGGTGATAGACCGCCTCAAATTATCCTTCATTCGCTTGATTTTTTTGGTTACATTAAAAAGTCGCGTTTGATTATAGGTGTATATACCGAGGACAACTATGAAACTTTTCCTGCTTCTGATTATTTTCGGAATGTGCGCTTCTCGGGAGTTAGAACGTCATAATATTGAAAGATGGGTGAGGTGGGATCAAGTTGTAAGGCACTAAACATACATAAGTTAGGCTCTTTTCAGAAACCTTCATCATATATGTCATAATGGAAAATGCAAGAGATACATCATGGGAGCCCCAATTCATCCTTCCACAAAAGTCTATTCATCTTTACGAAAATGTCGGGCAGTATGCCGGTACTTTCAATCATGGACCAGGTTCTAAGAAACGTGAAAGAGGCTCTTTTCAGCGGACCAGTCTATGTGTGTGAAAAGAATAAGTATTGCATACTGAATTATGTAGATGATGGTCCAAATCCCGAAGAAAGATTCTTCTCTACATTCGAAGAATGCAACAATGAATGCCCCCCCAAGCCATGGATTTGGAGGAAACACTGATGCAAAAGAAACAGTATGTCTCCAAAATTTGAAAACGGCAATATTGCATGTTGGTGTGAAGATAAAGCCATTGTTGCTTGTAGCTTGTCCGCAAAGCGCAAACATCAACGTTTTTCGGAAGAATAATGTTTTTGTGGCGTGTACAGAGTAATTTACATTATTTCTAAAAAACGCAAAATAATGACTAATCAATACAATACCAATTCGGACAAAGGTAAGCGAGACTTGCACATGATGATAATATGAAAATTCCGTTTTCGTTTGAATTAAATTGAAAGAAAAACAAAAGAAATAGAATCGTCGAAAATACAAAAAAAAGCCTACTCTAATTTTGCAAGTCGAGACGCACCTTCTTCGATTTTTCAAGAGGGCCGCTTCGCGTCGTTTTATTTGGAAGACGGAACTTATGCACAATACCTTCAGGCAATACGCAGCATGTTTAAGGTCCTTTGGTCGCGAAATTTTAGTTGTGATCAGGCTTGTCGTTTAGAAAGATTCAGGTAAGTCTTGCACTCGTAAAGTTGGAAAATTTCTATCAAGGAATTCTATGAAACACGTTTGAACATGTTGATTTTTCACGAGAAAGATTATTTTGTCAAATGCTGATACGAATCGACTCCTTGAGCTAAACTCTCACATATTCTGGATATCAAATAATCAATGTTTAGAGCGATTTTTGATGATCGAATAATCGAATATATCGTAAGCGAAAATCATTGACTGATTTTCAAATAAGTGTTTCTTGATTTTCAAAGCATTTCGAAATCGAGTTTGATTTATTCGAATAAATACTCTCAGTCAGAGTCTTAGTTTTTGAAGTGAATTTTTAACTGAATCACCTCGGTCAGTAAACTGTAATGAGATTAGGCTTTTTTCTTCTATAACGGTTATGGCCGGCCAGTGGCGTAGTCTGAATTGGCACCTTAAATTTTGTAGAAAGATAGCTATATTAGAAAATCAAAAAATATGTCGTCTAAACTAGTACTTCACAAGCAGAAAAATCAGACTGATTTTGGAGTTTTGCATAGAAAAAGTTTTCTTTCTCGCCATGAATTTCTGCAACCAAGGAGACTTTTTTTTGGATTTTTTTACGAGTGTTCCGGCAAAAGAAGTCAAAGTTCTTCTCAGATGTATGCTCATGTCTTTTGGTTGCAGTTACTGACGCCCACGGTCTGTTGTAACACTACAATCGTTCTCGATCTTGCTCAGTCCTTATCGTGCCGCGATTCCGGATCGGCTCGCATCGTGCGACAAGAGCAATGAACGCCAGACATCGCATCTACATTTTGAATCAAAAAATGAAGTTTTTAGAATATGTTAGAAAAGCCGGAGACAGCTACAGCGTACAGAAGTACGAGCAGTATGAATAAAATTGTACAAAGGACCAGTGAATCTGTGAATGAATGTGAGAAAAAAATAAAGAATAATTGGCAAGAATTAGGTGAGCGAAAAAAAGTAAGCAGATCCAATTTATCAGGGTCTGACTATGAATTTACAGTTGCAAGAAAGGCATTACTTCAGAGAATTTTGGATCTGTTAAGTGATCAAGGAGCTCATGCAAAAACCTATGTGGGTTTCTTCCGTTTGAGAATGTTAAGCAATTTTCGAAGAGAAAAAAGTGAATAAAGTTCACTTTATACTCTTGAAGAGCATTTCAAAAACTGTTTTTTAGTTTCCATAAGAACTTGCTCCGTCACTAAATTATAGCAAACTTAAGAGGATAACCCTCGGAACTCGAGTAAAATAAAAATATAATTTGATTTCTCCTCCCACACGCATTAAAATTTCGAGCAAGAAAGGAGGCTTTTTCCGTTTAGTATGTAAAGGTTTGAGATTTCTATGCTTTGTGATTTATCTGTTAGGTTTATCAACAAAGAAGCAAAAATCTGCTTCTCGGAAACTGGACACTAGGAGAGAATGGAGAATGTTCTTTAAAATATGTTTTCGACAAAAAGAGGCCTACACAGACACAATTCAACGCTGGGAGCTCTAGGAGGACATGTACCTGCTGGAGATTTATCCCATACTGCGGGGGAATCTTACTGACAAGAACAATTTTCATAACAAATTTTGAAAGCTGAATAGGTCAAAGTTTCACTAAGGAGCGTGGAGCTTTAGAGCTCTTACTCTTAGAAGAATTTAAAACAAGCAAAAAAAGGGTGAGCGATAACTTGTTTGAAAGTCCCAGTGCCTCCAAAATCTTAGAAGTGGTTAAGAATAATATGTTAGAAGGTACGTTCAATAAATTTTCTTTGGAAGAAGATTTGGTGCAAAATTGTAATCCTAAATTAGTGTAGCTAGCCTTGAAGACCCGTCCACCCAATTTCTCGAATCCCATGTTTTGGTCGCTCAAGGCTTTCTCATTTACCTGATTGCGAATATTAAGTCTAGAACGCAAACTTCCCTCCGCATAACTCAGGGCGAGTTCTCCAGACGGCGATTGGGCGGGACGAACTTTACGTCAGGAGAATAGTCGACGTAGCGAAACGTCATTCGAAGCGATTTTCGAAACAATTCTCTCGCTTCAGGAGCAAATTTGCAGCGCGAGTTAGGCCCCACTACTGTTGGGCACCAAAGTTCATCGATCTCATTTTGGGGGGACGGTGTATTTAACGAATCCGCTATGAATCTTTGTTAAGCTAAGCGGCTAAAAGACTGTTACGCCTTTACCGTAAAGCGCGACACGGTTGTGCAGGCAAATGCCGTATTTGTTACAGGCGAGAGGAGCGATTTGCATAAAAGGACACGTCAATATAAAGACGTAAGTGGGCTCGGAGAGGAGGCCCTTTTACCCTTTGCGGCCGGGTGTTTGTATGCGTAGCACAATCGCACGCTGCGATTGATGATTATCACCTGGATTTGTCGGAATTTTTTGAGAGAATTTTTTTGAGTCTTAAAAAATTTGGGTTGAAAAATTCTCTCTTGACTAAAGCTTGCATAACCTTGAGCACATATGAATACGCACATCGATGACGGTCATCAAATCGCGCTACCCGAGATGGAAAAAACGCAAATACACGAGCGCGATTGCGCAAATGCAAGGCCATCGTTATGGGCAAAAATTGCTATATCGGTTGTTTTCTGCGGATAAATACCTGTCATCGTGGGGCAATCAATAATCAATGCATTTCTGGGCTTTGATTGTGAAGGTAAAGAAGAAAACTTGCTCTGAATATTGTAGGCTTGGCTTGTAGGAACTTTTTCTCTTCCTCCCTGATCGCACTTTTTGCTCATGATACAAAAGAAAATGAGTTTTTATTTGAATGATGTGTTTGCAAATGAATAACATTTAGAAAAGTCATTTAGTATTGGAATACCAGATGGGAAAGAATTATCCTTTAGATAATCCCCTCTATATTACCCCAAAATTTCTAACCACTCTCCTTTCAATAATGGAAGAAACAGAATCGTTTTCCTAGTTCACTTGCAAGAAGCCCATACAAGATATGATAATGATTCGGAGGAGTACGGTAGTAGTGTAGAACAGGAACCTTCTATTCGCTTTCAAACAATTGATTTTTTATGAATTTGCTGAGAAAATGTCTCCTAATGAGTTGACGGAAATGCACATATACAGGGTGTCCGTAAAGTATGCATACATTGTTTGATCGTTAATATCTTTCTTCCCAACAAGTCTTTTGCCTTGCTTCAGGTACCCTTTTGTAGAGCTGACTTCAACTTAGATTTGCAGTATAGAAAGAATCATCCACCTCACTTCATTACTGCAGGATTACGGTAGAACTTCAAAGAGGGTTTTGATCCATGAAAGGCCATATTTTGCTTCAGAAGGGAAACAAAGCAGCCTGAAAGCTTCTACACTAAGCTATTTAGAATTGTTGGTTCCAACTGTAAAGTTCCCAACTTATTATGATGCTTCATTGAAGAGTTATGCCAGGTAAAAGGTAGCGGCCATTTTTTCAATGTTCCTAAAAAGTGCGGTTACACCGTTTAGAAAGCTTCGCAACCTTCTGGATAGTTTAGTATTGAACTCATCGTCCATAATAACCCTATTACACAAGTTCTCACATTTTTTGAAGAATTTTGAAATGGCAGCTTTTTTACATTGACACCATACGTTTCAAGTTCCTACCGTAATCCTGCAGTAATGAAGAGAGATGGATGATTCGTTCTATGTTGCAAATCTAAGTTAAAGGTAGCTCTACAAGATGGTACTGAAGCAAGGCAAAAGACTTGTTGGGAAGAAAGATATTAACGATCAAACAGTATATACATACTTTACGGACACCCTGTATGTATTTCTGGTCAAAAAATCAGTTTTACATGTCCGTTCCCTCTATTCTCCAATTCCAAAATATAATGTCGCACTGCATAAGATGCGATGGTGGTACGGTGAAAGTACTGCAATGTTAAGGGGCAGAAACCTCACCGTTGACTAAAAACATACTGATGCTCTTGTTAAATGTGAAGCGCCATTTCTAATGTAAGTTGAGCTTATAGCCAGCCGATTGACTTCAAGGGGGTAGTCATGTTAGGAGAAAATTTTTGGTTATGGTTAAACACTCAAGTGATTACTAAAAGCAAGTTCACGAAAAAGAAACGAGAGTACTGGTTTTAATAATCGTTGAGCTTAAGGAAACCATAATATAATTTTTTTTGTAATCTATAGAGTAATCTTGCTACGTTCTTTAAACAAGATCTATATTACTGTAAATCGCGTCTCAATTCCATGGTGTGATGTTAGTAGTAATCTCTGACATTAACAAACTCTATCAAACTAAGAGGGGAAGGATACTTGGTTACCGTGGCCATCCGTAATGATTTGTATATCAAAAAATGCGTCTTTTAATGCTGGTTCGATTACTGTCTTCCATGTCTGCGAAACGATAACCTGGGGAGTTATGATTATTTTTGCATGAATAAATTGCGCTACTGCGGAGGGTCAAAATCAAGAAAAAATTTTCTTTGCTTTTCAAATGCTGAGTATGATTTATATAAGTATAATACATCAGTATTGCTTACAAGATTTTCTTCAATAGTTTCAAATGGCAACCTAGACGCAAATTTTCAACGAAAAAAAATTCATAATTTTCTTAAGAAAATAGTTTCGCAAATATCGAGCACAGATCTAGAATCATCGTTTCGAGATGCATCTTATGGTATACATCTCACCGGGTATCCTTTCTTTGTAAGAGGCAATACGCGGCTACGAAAGAACGTATGTTATTCCAGATAAATAAAAATCTCATTTCTCCATGCCTGCCTTGGTGATATACTGATACTAATCGAAGTTAGAAGTGTTAAAAAAAACCATAGTAATATAAGTATCATAATCTTTACTGTAATCTTCATTCAAGTTACTTACAATTAGATCATTTGCCATCAGCTGATACTCCTCTACAGTGCTTACACATAAAGGGAGACTGCTGGAGGGCGCCTAAACCCCAGAGGGGAACACCCTTCATAACTTCTTCTACAAAACCGCTCCGCAGCTAGAAACTGCAGATTTGGAATCAGCGTTTCAAGCGCTTTAAGATGATATATGTCTCATCTGGATTGGCGCTTTCGACTAAGTATCCTCTCCTTGTTAGCTTCTATATTAGTAGAGAGCATGAGAGTTATCGTACCGTTATGGTAGGAATACCGAGGGCAATATCTCTTCTAGCCTCCCAAAAAATTACTTTTCTACGAGCTTTTCAAGAATTGAGCCCGTAAATCCACCTCAACGCAACTTTGCCAGGCGGGAGTAAAGGTTTTTGTTGATGCTTGCAGAAACTATGAATTTTCCAAATTTTTAGCGCAAGTCTTATGCACCAACATAATATGATTCACAAATTGAAAAATTCTAAAACAAAGCACTGAGCTTAAGAGCAAAATGAAACCTTGTAAGACGTAATTTTTGGGTATTTTTGAAGGCTCCGTTCATTAAAATATTAGGTCGTCTTGAAAGTATTTTCGCTTTTCTAAACAAACGCTACATTTAGCGGAATAAAAGGTTTTGAAAGATCTTGGTAACACTCGATATAGTTTTTCATACTTTCTCAAGTGATTATTTTGATATTGCATTCAACAAACGGCCTCTTAGAATATAATCAAAAACTGCCTATGGTTTTTTCATGGTCAACATCCGCTATTTTTAAAACTTGTACTGATCTCCCGAAGAAGTCCAAGTAGCGAATAAATAGAGCAAACTCCATAGGATTCAAAGCAAATTTCCCTCCAAATCTATTTTCAAAATTATTTGAATCATTTTTTTGTTGCCATGAAATTCCATATACGGTCAAGTTAAACCTTAAAGAACTCCAATTGGCAAGCAAATCAAGTGTTATTCAACTCTTCTCCTAAGAACAGCGCAGCATTACTCTGGTAAAAACATGGAAATTTTCGTTTTTCTGATTCAGAAATCAGAAAAACTTCCCATGTTTTCACTAATAAAAACAGCACCAACACGAGTGAGGTGGAGCGTACATGAGCGAGTGAGATTCTGTAGGTCTTTTTCAAACAAAGATAATTCAAAATTTCGATTTTTTAGGCGTCCGAAACCTATTTTGGTTTTGAATTTAAGGTGGGTCAAAGCTCGTGCAAAAGCATAAACGGCGTCTTATAGAGCTTGCTTTGCTCTATAAGACGGCAAATGGTATCCAGATGCCTTTTCGGAATAAGAAGTGTGAATTATTACAGCAAAAACTCAAAAGTGAAAAGGTTTATGGGATAACCTAATACATACTCTAGGCGAGATCAGAATGTTTATGATGCTTTCAGATTAATTCACTTAGAAAGAGCAAAGCGAGACTTAGCGTACCCTGCGAAATTTGCCTTGTGCAAATAAAGTTTAAAACTCTAAGGGCAGAGGATAATATATAGTTGATTCGTTGACCGCACGGACTGGGTATCACTGTGGAACACGGTATCACTGTGGAACACGCGCCGCGAGGTAGAACGCTTGCCCCAGTGCCAATTTTCTATTGTACAAGTCGTGCTCTCGCGAGAATTCAGCCGCGTCGCGCGTGGTCCGCAGCGTTTGAACAGTCCGTGCGGTAAACGAATCGACGTTACTTTCTGCTAGATATTTGAGGCTATCGAAGTGAAGACATATGAAAGTATTTGTCCGTCATTGCTTGAAATAAGTCTTGATGTTCATTCATAATTCCAATTTTTTTGAACATAAAAACGGTGCTGATTTGACTTCAACAATTGCCTTTTCTGGTACTTTCTTACAATACAATCGACTTCTTCGATTAGTATCAATGGGACGATTGAAACTTCTCGCTGAACATTCCAAATGAAAAATATTGCCTAGAAACTACAAATTCAAGTAATGCGATACATTCTGACGTCTTTTCTAATCCATCGTCATTTACTACATGTTAATCAATCCATACAAAGGTGATAGACCGCCTCAAATTATCCTTCATTCGCTTGATTTTTTTGGTTACATTAAAAAGTCGCGTTTGATTATAGGTGTACATACCGAGGACAACTATGAAATTTTTCCTGCTTCTGATTATTTTCGGAATGTGCGCTTCTCGGGAGTTAGAACATAATGATATTAAAGGATGGGTGAGGTGGGATCAAGTTGTAAGGCACTAAACATACATAAGATAGGCTCTTTCCAGAAACCTTCATCATATATGTTGGGGAGGAAAATGCAAGAGATACATCATGGGAGCCCCAATTAATCCTTCCCAAAAAGTCTATCCATCTTACGAAAAATGTCGGGCAAAATGCCGGTACTTTCAATCATGGACCAGGTTCTAAGAAACGTGAAAGAGGCTATTTTCAGCGCACCAGTTTTTGTGTGTAAGAAGCTGCATTGCATCATCTATTATGTAGATGATGGTCCATATCCCAAAGGAACAATTTTCCGTACATCCGAAGAATGCGACAAAGTATGCGACAGGCTATGGGATAAATGGGCCTCCGATGTGAAATTGTATAAACACTGATGCAAAAGAAACAGTATGTCTCCAAAATTTGAAAACGGCAATATTGCATGTTGGTGTGAAGATAAAGCCACTGTTGCTTGTAGCTTGTCCGCAAAGCGCAAACATCAACGTTTTTCGGAAGAATAATGTTATTGTGGAGTGTACAGAGTAATTTACATTATTATTAAAAAACGCAAAATAATGACTAATCAATACAATACCAATCCGGACAAAGGTAAGCGAGACTTGCACGTGATGATAATATGAAAATTCCGTTTTCGTTTGAATTAAATTGAAAGAAAAACAAAAGAAATAGAATCGTCGAAAATACAAAAAAACGCATCTTCTTTGATTTTTTAAGAGGGCCGCTTCGCGTCGTTGTATTTGGAAGACGGAACTTATGCACAATACCTTCAGGCAATACGCAGCATGTATAGGGTCTTTTGGTCGCGAAATTTTTAGATATGATCAGGCGAGTTTAAAAAGATTCAGGTGAATCTTGCACTCGTAAAGTTAGGGAATTTCTATCAAGGAATTCTATGAAACAGGTTTGAACATGTTGATTTTTCACGAGAAAGACTTTTTGTCAAATGCTGATACGAATCGACTCCTTGAGCTAAACTCTCACATATTCTGGATATCAAATAATCAATGTTTAGAGCGATTTTTGATGATCGAATAATCGAATATATCGTAAGCGAAAATCATTGACTGATTTTCAAATAAGTGTTTCTTGATTTTCAAAGCATTTCGAAATCGAGTTTGATTTATTCGACTAAATACTCTCAGTCAGAGTCTTAGTTTTTGAATAAATTTTTAACTGAATCACCTCGGTCAGTAAACTGTAATGAGATTAGGCTTTTTTCTTCTATAACGGTTATGGCCGGCCAGTGGCGTAGTCTGAATTGGCACCTTAAATTTTGTAGAAAGATAGCTATATTAGAAAATCAAAAAATATGTCGTCTAAATTAGTATTTTAAAAGCAGAAAAATCAGACTGATTTTGGAGTTTTGCACAGAAAAAGTTTTCTTTCTCGCCTTGAATTTCTGCAACCAAGGAGACTTTTTTTTGGATTTTTTCACGAGTGTTCCGGCATCAAAAGTCAAAGTTCTTCTCAGATGTATGCTTATGTCTTTTGGTTGCAGTTGCTGACGCCCACGGTCTGTTGTAAAACTACAATCGTTCTTGATCTTGGTCAATCCTTCTCGTACCGCGATGCCGGATCGACTCGCATCGTGCGACAAGAGGAATGAACGCCGTACATCGCGTCTACATTTTGAATCAAAAAATGAAGTTTTTGGAATATTTTAGAAAACCCGGCGACAGCTACAGCGTATAGAAATACGAGCAATATGAATGAAATTGTACGAAGGACCAGTGAATCTGTGATTGAATGTGAGAAAAAATAAAGAATAAATGGCAAAAATTTATGTGAGCGAAGAAAAATCAGCAGATCCAATTTATCAGGGCCTGATTATGAATTTACAGTTGCAAGAAAGGCATCACTTTAGAGAATTTTGGATCTGCTAAGTGATCAAGGGACTCATGTAGAAACCTATGTGGGTTTCTTTCGTTTGAGAGTGTTAGGCAATTTTCGAAGAGGGAAAAAGTTAGCAAAGTGAACTTTACTCTCTTGAAGAACATTACAAAAACTATTTTCTTAGGTTTATGAGAATTTGCTCCATCACTAAATCATAACAAATTGAGAGGATGATCCTCAGAAGTCGAGCAAGATAAAAACAATAATTTGATTTCTCCTTCAACAAGCATCAAAATTGTTCCAACAAAAGGAGAAGGTTTTTCCTTCAGTATATAAACGTTTGCGGTTATGCTTTTTGATTCATCTGTTATGTCTGTAAAGAAATGAACAAAATTGCTTCTCCGGAGCTAAACGCTAAGAGCTCTAGGAAAACGTGTACCTGCCGAATTATCACATACTGTAGGAGAATCTTACTGACAAGGACTACTTTCGGGTTAGAGTTTCTGGATGCTGAATAGCTCGGAGTTAGACAAGGAGTTTGGAACTTTAAAGCTCTTATTTTTAGAAAAATTTACCGCAAGCAGAAAAAGGGTGATAGTATACACCAGTGATAATTTTTTGTTTTGAAAGTCCCAATGCCTCCAGAATCTCAGAAGCGATTAAGAATAATAAGTTAAAGGGGTCCGATGAATTTTTTTTGAAGAAAAATTTGGTATGCAGAATTGAAAGCCTAAATTAGTGTAGCGAGCCTCGAAGCACCAAATTCGTCAGAAGAAGCGTCAAATTCTCGACTTCAATGTTTTGGTCGTTAAAGGGCTTCTCATGTACCTGATTGTGAGTATTAAGTCTATCCGCAAAACCTCGCTTCGCATTACTCAGGGCGAGTTCTCCGGAAAGGTGGTTGGTTATGAAAACAAGGATGAGGGGAAGAACGTTACATCAGGGGAAAAGTCAACGTGGCGAAACGTCATTCGGGGCGATTTTCGAAACAATTCTCTCGCTTCAGGAGCAAATTTGCAGCGCGAATTAAGCCCCACTACCGTTAGGCATCAAAATTTACCGACTCCATTTAGGGGGACGGTGTCTTCAACAAATATGATATGAATTCTCGTAAAGTTCAGCAGCTAATAGACTTTACGCCTATTGCCGTAGAGCGCGACATGGTGGTCCAGGCAAATACCGTATTCGTTACAAACGAGCGGGGTGACGTCGATATATGAAAGTTAGCTCCGTGAGGAGGCGCATTTGATTACCCTTGGCCGGGTGCTCGCATAAATAGCGCAGTCGCGCTGATTGTCACCTGGATTTGCTGGAATTCTTTGGGAGCAATTTTTATAAAGCCCTAAAAAATTTGGCTCGGGAAGATCTCTCTTGGTTGAAGTTTGCATAACCTTGAGCACATATGCATACGCACATCGATGACGCTCATGCACATACACATATATACGCGAAGATCGTAGACACAAATCGTGCTGCCCGAGATAGAAAAAAAAACTCAAACATACGCGAGCGCTAATGCGCCAATGCAAACCATCGATTGTAGGCAAAAAAGTACTACATTTTGTTGTTTACGATTAAATACCTGTCATAGTGGAGCAATCAGTAATTAATGCATTCCTGGGCTTCAATTATAGAGATAAAGTGGAAAACTTGCTCGGAATATTGTAGGTTTGGCTAGGAACTTTTTCTCCTTCTCCCTGATCGCACTTTTTGCACATAATACAAAAAAAGTGATTTGATGGTTTTTATTCGAATGATGAATTAGGTTGTGCCGAAAGTTCGTTCGCACCATTTTCAAAAATTCATAACTCTTAAAATTCTCGACGAATTTGTGCGACCAAAATTTTGCGTAAAAGAGGAAGTGATGCTCTTTGCACGCGTACCTGAACTCTCGTTAATGTATGCAAATTAAGGAGATAGAAGCTCAAAACCAAAATGACTCAAAATTTGAATTTTTCGTGTAGGGCCATAAAAAATCGGAAACCTGCAACAAAAATCGGAGTAGTCGGTATTGTAGTTTTTTCACCGGCTCTTTTCAACAGTGCAAAGCTTGCGCCAATTGAGCGTCTCCAGAAAAGTTATGATTTTCCTGAAAAACGCCAAAATAAATCGAATTCGCCCTTTTGTATTGCTTGCTCGAAAATCATAACTTTTCACAGAAACGCTCAATCGGCGCAAACTTTGCGCTGCTGGAAAGAGCCGGTGAAAAAACCAACAATCCCGACTACTCCGATTTTTGTTGCAAGTTTACGATTTTTTATGACCCTACACGAAAAAATCAAATCTTGAGTCATTTTGGTTTCGAGCTTCTATCTCCTTTATTTGCATACATAAATGAAAGTTAAGGTATATGTGCAAAGAGCATGAGCTCCTCTCTTACGCAAAATTTTGATCGCACAAATTCGTCGAGAATTTAAAGAGTCATGAATTTTTGAAAATGGTGCGAACGAACTTTCGGGACAACCTAATATTTGCAGATGCTTACCATTCAAAAAGGTGGCATTTAGTATTGGAACGCCAGATGGGAAAAAAATTATATACTAAACAATCCCCTCTATTTAACCCAGAATTTCTAACCACTCTCCTCTCAATAATGAAAAAAAGCAGAATCGCTTTCCTAGTTCACTTGCAAGAAGCCTATACAAGATATGATAGTGATTCGGAGGAGTACGGTAGTAGTGTAGAACAGGAACCTTCTATTCGCTTTCGAAAATTCGATTTTTTATGAATTTGCTGAGAAAATGTCTCCTAATGAATTGACGGAAATGCACATATTAGGTCGTTTCAAAAGTAATTTCGCTTTTTTCAAACGGGCGCCACATTTGATAGAACAAAGGCTTCTAAGAGATCTTGGAGGCATTCGATGCAGAATTTCTTTCTCTTTCTAAAGGTTATGAGATTGTTGCAAAACAATCAATGAGCTTTCAGAAAATAACCAAAACTTGCGACCCATGCTTTTTAAGATGGTCAAGTTTCACTATTTCTTAAAACTTTCATATCAATCCTCAGAAGGAGTTCAAGTAACGATTCGATAGAGTAAACCTCATAGAATACAGTACTACTTTTTTCTCTTTTTCATAACTCGCCGTAATTTTTTAAAAGATTTTTTAACAGAACCATCGGAATTTGGCAGGCCCACCTCAGCCACAATCGCAGCAAACATCATAATTTTTCGGAATTTGAGACTACCAAGACTGTACTATGAGTTAGCACTAACTTTACAAAACAAGTGAGGGTTTACGGGCTCGAAATATCAAATTTCGTGATTTTCAGGTACAGCATGAGGCTCCTTAAAAAATGAATTGTGATGATTTTATCCCCGAAAACTAAACGAATCGGAAACAAAAACCACCGGTTAGAAAGAGGACAAGATGCTGCGTCGAATAGTGGCCGAGCTGCTCTTCCTTTGTTGTTCTACGAGGATTTAGCTGCTCAAGTATGGAAATCGGTAGCATCAGTTAAAATTCTCTTGAAAATGTATGACAAGCTAGGGAAAGGAGAAAAAAGTAGTACTGTATTCTACAAGGTTTACTGTATCGAATCATTACTTGAACTCCTTCTGAGGATTGATATGAAAGTTTTAAAAAATCGTGAAACTTGACCATCTCAAAAAACATAGGTGGCAGATTTTGGTTATTTTCTGAAAGCTCATTGACTGTTTTGCAACAGTTTCATAACCATTTGAAAAAGACTGAAATTCTGCATCGAATGCCTGCAAGATCTCTTAGAAACCTCTGTTCCGTCACATGTGGTGCCCGTTTGAAAAAAGCGAAATTACTTTTGAAACGACCTAATATATGTATTACTAGTCATAAGATCAGTTTTACATGTCCGTTCCCTCTATTCTCCAATTCCAAAATATAATGTCGCACTGCATAAGATGCGATGGTGGTACGATGAGAGTACTGCAATGTTAAGGGGCAGAAACCTTACCGTTAACTAAAAACGTACTGATGCTCTTGTTAGAAAATGTGAAGCGCCATTACTAATGTAAGTGAGCTTATAGCCAGCCGATTGACCTCAAGAGGGTAGTCATGTTAGAAGAAAGTTTTTGGTTATGGTTGAACACTCAAGTGATTACTAAGAGCAAGTTCACGAAAAAGAAAAGAGAGTACTGGTTGTAATAATCGTTGAGCTCAAGGAGACCATAATATAATTTTTTTGTAATCTATAGAGTAATCTTGCTACGTTCTTTAAACATGATCTATATTACTGTAAATCGCGTCTTACTTCCATGCAGTGATGATGGAAGTAATCTCTGACATTGACAAATTCTATCAAATCTAAAAGGCATACTGCCATAGTGCCACGAAAGAACATATGTTATTCAAGATAAATAAAAATCTCATTTCTCCTGCTTGCCTTGGTGATGATTTCGACGCGTTCAAAAACCCGCTTGATAATGTTTAATCGTGAAATATGCGAAAGCTCGTCTATAAAGGATTGTGCGTTCAAAAACCATGATTATAAAACGTAGAAACAAAACTCTAAAAAGCGTGGAATGAAAATTTTCCATTTGGACAACGAATCCTTGATCAACTGTCCCCAGGAGAAACGTATCTCAGCTTCTATTTTACTAAAGAGCATGAGAGTTATCGTAACGTTATGGTAGGAGTACGAAAGGAAATATCTCTAAGCCTCCCAGAAAAATTTTTCTACGAGCTTTTCAAAAAAGCCCGCAAATCCACCTCAACGCAAATTTCCAGGCGGGCGTTACGGCTTCTCGGGCCTCGGGCATGCTTCAGGTGGTTTCAATCGCAAAGAATTGAAAAA